CCGCCTCCCGAGTGCTGGGATTAAAGGCGTGCGCCACCAACGCCCGGCTAATTCAAATTCAAAGCTTTGGTTTTTGTTCATTTATGGAAGTCTGCCAAAATATTTGTTTTATTGTGTTCTTTGTAAACTGTGATTCATCTGTCAGAGCTGTTTTATCATCCATTGCAGTATCAGTTTTTACATTAGGCATTGGTTTATTCAGTTGTCCTGGAGAGGAATTTCTTCCACAGTGGCTGGGAATGTTCATACTACGTTTGATTTGGGGGCCTGCAAGAGGCCCCCTGAGGTGTTTCCTGCCAGTAAAGGGTTGCCTTGTATATCTATTTTTGATCTGCACTCACTGGTCCAATGTCGGCCTTTGTCACACCTTCTACATAATCCAGGAGGTGGTTGGGGTCTCCTGTTTAGGCTATTCATAAAAGGAGTATTATTTCTAGGAGTACCCCACATACAGTTTCTACTTATATGACCTGGTGTACTACATTTAAAACATTTGGTACCACAGGGCCTTCTTTCACCTCTGGGATTTGTCTCTCCTATCCAAGACTCATTACTGTAGTTAAGAGACTGAACACCAGTAGTATATTGAATCCATTCTTCCAAAGGAGCTGATCTGATCTTTAGTGGTGTAAGTATTCTTCTGCATTCTGCATTAACATTGTCGAACACCAAGGACTCAGTTAATACTTTTCTTAATTCTTTATCTGATATAGCTTTTGTTATAGCTGTGTTCAGCCTTTGTAAAAAATCAGTGAAAGATTCATGTGGTCCCTGAAATATCTTTGTGTATACCTCAGTTGGTTTTCCAGGTTATGGAATTTTTTCCCAAGCATTTAGAGCTGCTGTACGGCATAGGGATATTGTATGCTCATCATAAGTGGCTTGTACATTCCTGTCAGCAAAACATCCCTCACCAAGTATTTGATCTTGGGAGATCACAAAACCTCTGAGTTTACATTGTTGTTCTAAATTTTTTGCCTCTTCTCTCAACCAGCTTTTCCACTGTAACTGCTGGCTATATTCTAGAACAGCTGAAATTAACTGATGCCAGTCATCTGGAATGATTCTATGTGAGGTAGACCACGAATTTAACATCTGTTTTATATATGTGGAATGTATCCCATATGTAACTACTGCTTCCTTTATATTTTTAAAGTCCCTTGTTGAAATTGGTTGTAATGTATATGTCATATATGGCTCGGGGTGTGTGTCATCTGCTGGCTTCTCATGGATGATAACAGGATAAGCCATTGTATAGGAGCCATTTGGAGATGTTACAACCTCTATGGTCTTGCCCTTCTGCTTATTAGGTCCCTTGCCATGTTTACTGAGAGTTTCTTCCAGGTCTTGCAAACAAGCACCTAGGGTCTGTTCTAGGGAGTGAACCTCCTCTCTTGCAAGGGACTCCATATTTCTCATGGAATCATGGAAGTTTTTCTGTTCTTCAGAAACACATGATTATATGGACCTTATCTTATCAATTAATGATAATCTTTCTTCCTTATATAGTGTCTGGAGAGTTAGTGTTCTATCTATTAAATATTCATATTTATTATCAATACAATCAATTTTGGGTACAAGCCTGTTTTGTAAATCCTGATTAGCAGATTCCAGAGACAGAATCTTTTTATGTAAATCCTGGTTAGCAGATTCCAGAGAAATAATCTTTTTCTGTAAGCCTTCATTGCTATCTTTTAAAGCCTGTATCAGTCCCAATAATGACTCATCTTTGTTCTCATTATTAAACCAGTGTTTGAACACTGTGTGTATTATTATGATGAATGCCAAAATGGTACAGGCCAGAGATGCCTTAGAAAGGTCGTATATTTCCAGGAAAATGTCATTCATCATACAGGCAAAAAGGTTTTTAAATTCTTGTGAGGTAATGTTGTCAGCCATATTACAAGAATTACTCAATATTTGTTAGTCAATTTTAAGGTGTAAAATTATCAAGTACTTTTACTTGAAATAAAACACTTGTTTGCCTAGCTTACCTTTTGTGGTTTTGGGGGGTGTAGTAGCAGTTTTCAGGCAGCAGGAGACATTGGTACAGCTCCAAAGCAGGGCCTGCTGGTGACCTTAGCTGGCCACAGCTGAAGGCAGAAGTTGAGATGGCAGGGAGCTGGAGCTGGCACTCAGGGAGGAGGGGAATGCCTCACTCACAGCAGTCTCTGGTCTGGGGGCTAAGCTAGGGAACTGAGACTGGACTAGCTGCTCCCTTTTTTGGGAATGGAACCGTGTAGGCGTTCCCTGGTTATATGGAACTTTGCAGGGGTTTTAGGTACCCGCCAGCTGGGGAGGAGGCTGAGGGTGGAATTCACCCCATGTTGGGTGCCAGATATTGGTGAAATTATTAAGGCCACTCCATGTAGTTAAAAGGGATGTTTATTTAGTGGCATAACTCACAAATGAAGCAATAGGTAGGTTACAGGGTCTGGGGAAGATGTAGCACAGTCTGGTGGTGTTCTCTGGAGAACTCTGCTTGGTCTACCTCCAGTGTCCAGGGTCCAGGAACCAAGAGAAGGCTGTGCATTTGGATCTCGAGTCTTCAGGGTCCTCTCTTGGCCCTGCCTTGTAGGTGTGACAATTACCGAAGCCTCAGTGGGGGTTGGAACTTCCAGATCAAAGCTGGAATGGCTACCCACTACAAAAATATTTATGTAAAAATATCCCTCCAGCCTCTGACACTAGATATGAACCAGTGATCAGTGCAGTATGGGAACTCCCAGATCTCAGCTACTTAAGGCATCTCTGGAAGAAATTAGATTTCATAATGGAGGTCTTATTTCCATATCTATCCCATGTAATTCCCCCTTTGTCAGCCTTTCTTTTTCCATGTTGAAGAAGTTAATACAAATATTATTTTGCACTGACATTTGCTTTGAGTATAACATTGTTTTCCTTACATCTATTAGTCATTTGCAGACACTTATAAGAGCTGTTGAAATTTTCCAGTGGGTGTTCTTTTAATAAATGGAGTCTGGCCCCTTAAGGATTTCTTGACCCTTTATTTTCATTCCGGTCAACAACACAGTGACCTCAAATAATCAGTTTTTTTGTGTTGTTCTTGTTTTGTTTTAATTGAAGCTAGGCTATATCCTATCTCAACATGTCTATTAAACTCGCAGACCCCGACATCATTAGTGTTGCAGTGTTCTACACTGAGATCCATGCAGCTTATATACAGTTTATAAGAGCAGCAGTAAGACTCCATTTAGTAATTTAACTTCACTCATCCTATGGAATCAATTGTCCATTTAACAACAGTCTGGGAAACTCATTGTGAATAAGGGATAAATTAACGAGTTAGAAACAGATTGTTTGAACCCTTTTATCTATATTCTAGCATTTTAATAAAAATGATACTACAGAAAGAAAAATTCACACAAAAATGCTTTCTTTGTACAGAAGCTGTTGGAAACCACTGACATGAAGGGACTGGGTGTAGCCAACGGCTGGTACCACTTAGTTCCTTCCACAAACTGAAATATCAGTTAGACTTCCAGGAATTTCATCAGCAATCAGGGTTTTCAGTTGCTCTTAAAGAATTGGATCCAGGGTTACAGACTGGTACCCTACAAATGAGGCATACATGTGCATCAATGTGCTAAGGACCTGACTGTACTTCTTGATGTCACTTACTTTGCCATTATAAACATTAGAACTTAAAAACTCTTTGTTATACATCATATCAAAGACTTTAGTGTTTTAAGGTGTTTAGTACTGACTTATATTGAAATGGTTTAAATTATTGATAGGTCTTGAAAATGGGATTGAATTTAGGGTTCAGGATGTGACTCAGTGTTAGAGCCTTTTGTCCATGAACATGAAATGTGGCCTGAAGTCCTGTCACTAAAACATGCTTCTACTTCCTTTATATTATAAAAATTCTGCTCCTACAAGAGAATATGTAAGCTTTAACAGGTTAGTAGTGGTTACAGTTGAGTAGGTTATACATAGCGTCAGATATCACATCCCTCTCATAATTCTTGCTTTTTCGAGGTGCTCTGACTTAACAGCTTCATTGTTCTAAATACAATCCATATGGATCTAAAGTCTCCTTGAAAAACCATTGCATTTTTATCTCTGGTTTATAATTTGCATAAAAATTTAGTATAGAGACCAAAAAATGTACAGAAGTATAGAAATTTACAAAACAAACTCTTAGAATTTGTAGTAACTTCCAGATAAACGTGATTTTTAGAATATAGTTACAATTGAGGTCAGTTTTACTCTGAAAATATTTTTTGACCTGTTTGTAAAATGTCCCCAAATGACACATGTATCTTAAAATTTAAGCCTCCTGATTAACAATTGATGTTATGAGCAATGCGTCAGTAATAGGCATTAAGTTATTTTGAAATAAAAATATCATTCCCAGAGCTTAAATTTGTAGTTTCCTATTACCAATCACTCAGGAAAACTTTAGAGAATTAACTCTGCCTCCTGGTCTCTAGGTGTCTTCAGTGTCTACACCGGAAGAGGGAATAAGGGCATAAAATCAACCTAGTGACTCTTAACATAGATTATATATGTAGTTAATTTTCTACCACTGTAAGACAACATGACCAAGGCAACTTATCAAAGAAAGCATTTGATTGAGGGCTTGCTTACAGTTTCAGAAGGAAAATCCATGACCAACATGCCTGGGATCATGGCAGCAGGCAGGTAGGCATGCACTGGAGCAGCAGCTGAGAGCTTATATCTGATCCAGAACCATGCATGTCATTCATTTTTTGAAAGAAATAATAAATATTTAATAAAATATGTGTGAAATAATATGTGTTCATTCCTATCAACATTTACTAGGTTAAGTTTGTTGGCTCATGTTTCTCTCCTAGTCTAAGCTGAGGTTATACATTATTTACATTTGTTATTGATAGTCCAGTGACTTTGGAGTAGCTGATCATATATAGAGAAATTCCTGTTAAATATTATGTAGTTTCTTATTTTTTTTTCTGGGCCCATATCCTGTAAAATGTAAGGACACAAAAAAGCCATTTTGAAAACAACTGCACCAAAACACAAAACCCATGAGTCTGAATCAATCAAAGTAACCCTCAGTTTTCTTGTCTATAGAAAATCACTGAAGAACAAGAAATGGAGAAGTGCAATGTTGAATGTGCATCCTTATGGTCATGGCCTTCTGTGAAAACAGATTAGGTGACAGTAGACCAGCAGAGTGCACTACAGTACAAACACCTCAAAAAATACATCAGAGAAAACATAAAGAAGATGGTTTATGAACAACTTGAAAATGCTGAACTTATTATTCATCCTAAGGAAGAGCCTGCACCTGATGACTCTAGAAGAGAAATATCCACAAAGGTAATTCCCACCATGTGGAAAAGTATAGTATTTTACTGTAAAATAAGATAGTATCTTCTGGACAGCTTGTCTTTTCAATACTGTGGATTGTTCCAGACAAAAGAAACCTAGCTTGAAAATGTTCTCGAATCATTCTTATGTTCTTCATCACATACGTTCACTTTCCAGTCATCTTCTAAGATTTAAGTGAAAATTCATTAGACTGTAAGAGTAACAACCTAGGAAGTTAACATACTTAATACAAATAGAAGAATTTAACACTAATGTAGAATTTTTATGATGATGTGGAAAGTAAATGACAATGGTGTTGAGTATGATAACTACGCAGGAGCTAGAGTGGGCATGAAAGGAACCACATCTTTGATAAGCAAATGATTACAATATGAACTCCAATAGCAATAATTGCAAATAGATATTAGACATGCCAGAGTCTGGCAAACCAAAAGTTTCCCTCCTTCAAAGAAATAAATCATGTGTCTGAAAGAAAAAAGACATCACTTTTCTACTCTTAAACACACCGAAAACCAGACTAACACAAGACTTTCCCAGAAGCCACCTGCTAGTTGCAGTATAAAAAGTATAAAGTCACAGACTGAGATAGATAATATCAGTTCTCCACCACATGCTAACAGATTGCCAAACAGACATCTCTGCAAAGAGGCACCGTCATACAAGGTTATAACGACACAGGTGTGTACATGGGTGACACCCAGCTTTGAAAAAAGAGAAAGCTCACATGCCAAGTTCATGGTTTTCTCTTTATCATTTTCATTCTGAACCAATACAAAAAAACTCACATACATATATGGGCCAGAAACACAGCTCAGAGGGCCAGAGCACTTGCCTTGCAAGTCTAATGACCTGAGTTCCATCCCAGGAAGCACTACAAGTAGCAAGTGTCTGACATATATAATCCAGCAACCCTAAATCCACAGAGGAGGCTGAGAGCATAGAGCGGCTCTGAAACTCACAAGCCAGCCAGACTGGAACACAGAGGAACAGAAGCAGTGAGAGACCCTGCTTCACCCAGGGAAGGAGAGAGCCAGCTCCTGAAAGTTGTTCTCTGGTCTTCACACACAGCAGCAGCATAACACACACAAGCACACGAATATACACACACATGTGTGCCCAGCCCCCAGTGAAACATCTCCTCCAACAAGGCCACACCTCCTAATCTTTCCAAAATAGTCCCACCCACTGGGGACCAAGCATCCAAATGTTTGAGTGTATGGGGACTGTTCTCATTCAAGCCACCACAGTGGTGCTGGAATAGGCCATTGCTCACACATACAACAGTCATGGTTAAGGAGTAAGAGGTCAGAAGGCATCTCCAGAACCCACACTTGCAGCTCAGCAGCTCCCCACTGCTATGGGTAGTGACACACTTTGTTTACGTATGTTCAGGTCACTTTCACTGTTTTGCTATCTCAGGATCCCAATGAACAATTGTGAAAGGCCATGGGGAAAGGACTATGTAGTACAGAAGGCAGAGGTTCCTTTCATTACCGAAGCTCCTCATTGTCACATTCTATTAATCTGGCTGGAATGTAAAATCCAGGTCATAACATTTGGAGAGGACACATTCTGTCCTTTTATTTTTATATCTCCCCATTATACAGAGAATGATGATGTTAGGTAGAAAAGAGCAGAGGAAGAAAGGCATAAATCTGAGCAGGTTCCCTTTTGAGGTCTCTGAAAACCCTGGGCCTTTTACTCAAGCAGAAAGGAAGCAGAGGTTACAGGATATCAGTGACTGTAGTGATAAAATTAGACTAAACAACAAACATTTGGGGACTAAAATCAAGACTGTGATATTAATGTTTAATGAAAAGTAACATCTCAATATTTTTTAAAGGTTAAAGAAAAGAAGCCAGGGTATCTGCTTGTGCCCCGTTTGAACTCTTTTGAGCACAGAATTGCTGCACTGCGGGCTACCGCACACGTTGAACCAGCTCCTGCTGCCTGCCCTGGTGATGCGGGTGACGCGGGTGACATGGACAAGGCGTTCACGGCTGAACGGGCCCGTCCAGTTGCTTTGGCTCTCAGCACTGAGCACCAAAGATGGCAACCGCACACTGACCCTGAGCTTGCTCCTGGTCACCGCGCTGGCGACACCAGGGACCCTCCTCACAATGCTGACCTGGCTCTTGACAAGCTCAGTATTGATCCAGAGTCTGCTCCTCTTTGTGGTCCCAGTGACACTAAGGATCCTGCTAAGGATGCTGACCTAGCTTTTCACACTGCACATCCAACTGGCCACTTCAGACCAAGCATGAACACCAACAACAGGCCTGTCCTTCCTGTTGTTTATGTCTGATGACATGGGGGATACACCAGATTCTACAAGGGTAGTCTGGAGATCTTACCAAGAAGCTTCCAGTAAAAAGAATGAGGGCCAGGGTAAATTAGTCCACAAACAGTGGTTTAAAATACATGATTTTTTGTCCCAGAAAACTAACTCTTTTTGGTGCTAATACTTATGACTAATAAATTCCCTACTTTATATGCTGCTACATAGGCTTTATCTGGTACCAAAAGAAAATTATTTTCCCTCAATTGTATTGAAAATACACAATATAAAATTAACAAAGTCAGTCCACCAAAACTGACCAAATAATGTTAGTTAGTTCATGGTTGTCTCCTATTCTGGAATGAGAATTATTTTCTCTCCCAGTGATAACCTTGTGTTTTTGGAGTGGCTAAGCATATACAGAGATATCTAACTGTTAAATATTAATCAGTGTCTGCTTTTCTGTGGCCATACACTGACTTGTGAGGATAGCATCATCTCAGAAACAAACACTCCAAAACAAGCAGCATAAAACAAAAAAGGAGCTTCCAATTCACACACCTACTTACACACAATGATGCTGATGATACTGCATGAGATGATGCCAATATCGACACTGATGCTGCTGCCCATAATCCTCTCGATGATGCCACCGATGTTCCTGGTGATACTGCTAGTAATTCTTGCTTTTGCTTTTCTTTCTAGTTGGCGCTGCAGTTGATTGATAGTCCTCTGAAGCAGTCAAATTGATATCTATATTAACAAGAATTTTAAAACATATAGAAATTCAAAAGAAAAATAATTCTCTCAAAGAGGACATTCTATTTATTGAACTTTGTACACAAATTGTTAATAGTTTTCAATTAAAATACACTATGCAAAAATTTTTGTTTCTTGGCGTTAGATGAACTGACTATCAATTCTATTGTATAGGTAAGGGGAAGGTTTTTATTGTAGACGAGAGAGAGAGAGAGAGAGAGAGAGAGAGAGAGAGAGAGAGAGAGAAGCAGCAGCAGAGGCATCCGGAAGGGTTCAGAGCAGAAAGAGAAAGAAGCAGACTGAACATAGCCAGCAGACAGGAACTGGCTGTGAGAGAAGCAGAGCAGGACAGAGAGAGGAAGAGAGGTGGGGAGAGGGAGAGGGGAAGAGTGAGAGAGGAGAGAGAGGGGGAGAGGGAGAGAGGGAGAGAGGTGGGGGAGACATAGAGAGGGAGAGGGGAAGAGGGAGAGAAGAGAGAGGTGGGGGAGACATAGAGAGGGAGAGGGGAAGAGGGAGAGAAGAAAGAGGTGGGGGAGGGAGAGGGGAGGGGAGAGAGAGGGAGAAAGAGAGCGAGCTCAGGGTTATCAGAAACCCTTGAACTGGAAGGAATTTAGGGGAGGGGGAGGGAGAATGGCTTTTTACACACTGAGCCGTGTAACAGGTACCTGGGATACTAAAGGAGCCTGGAGGCCAGCATGGGCTGTGGGTGCTGACAGGCACCCCAGGGAGCTGTTTGTCCTTACAGCAGGTCTTTAGGGAAAGTGACTCCTTTTGGTAGAGGGGGAAACAGCTTCACAACTTCCTGAGGAACGCTGGCTTTTTATAGAACCTACAGAAATGCTACAGTCCAGGTTGAACTCAATTCTGGATCTCTGGGCTGCCTTTTAGAGTTTTGGGAATTAGAGTTTCCTTTGGATATAACAGGCACCAAAGACTTTTACTGGATTTTGCAAGTCAAAAACCAGTTTTGTTGAGGAGTACATACTCAAATTGCTCATATAGTATATAAACTCCAGCCAAACAGCCATGTTGTCCTTACTACATCGATAGAGTTAAAGTGTGGTCACTGCAACTTTTCTTTTAATTTGACGACACCCCTTCTCCCATGACCTACTATTTGGCCATAGCATCTTAGTGATGGTGGGCCTTATGAGCCTATGCATGATGGAATGGTGATGGTCCAGTTTTATAGAGGTCTTGTGTAGATTATCACATGAATGTGGTCATTGGGTAGTGTACATCATTTCCCAGCATTTATCCACAACCTCTGCCTCCCTTTTAAAAGTAGTCCCTGAGCCTTGGAGGATGTGATACAGCTGATCTGAGCACTTGACATGTATGCATTCTCTGCACTTTGGCCAGTTGTGAGTCTGCATTCACCACAGCCCACTGCATAAATATGTGTCTCTGATGAGGGATGACAGATGCTCCTACATACAGTTACAAATGTTAAGTATTTAGAAGGCAGATAGGCACCATGTCATTGTAACCAAACAACAACAGAAGTAAGTTCTCCCCTAGTGCCGACTGAGTGGATTCAACACATCGGTGATTAACTCGGAGTCACCAGCACTGCATCAGTGTCACTTTAAGGAAAGAAATAAAAGCATCCCATGGGATCATTTAACCAAGAACAAGTCCAGACTCGAACTCTCTGCTCAGGGCTCCCTGTGTCCTCAGTCTTCTGGTTGTTGTATGAATCTGATTCTGGACCTGTCTAGAGAAGTCCGTCTCACAAGTCTGTCCCCGCCCCTGTGTGTGTCTGTCCCTTTTACTGCTCACTCTCTTACTGAACCACAAAGAGAGCATCACAGTGGGTACTTCACAGAATCACCCAGAGTCTCACTAGGGAGTAACCAATAACAGCAACTGACCCCGACTGACCAAGACAACAAACAGTTTACAAATATCATTGCTTAACCACTAATATTCAAATGCTCCTGAGTTCAACATTTTTGGTGAGCATCCAGTTTATTAGACTGTGTTTCTATCTCTGTGTTTGAGACTTTCTGCATATTATATGCATACATTGTTCTGGATCAGGAGCATTAGGACTACATAATTTAAGATTAAAGCTACACATTAGTGAAGCCATTGGAACCCCAGGGACCGGTCAACTGCCTCTTCCCCTGCCCCCTTGCCAAAAACAAACAAACAAACAAACAAAAAAACCTAGCTCCCTGTGACACCAGTGAAAACCAGAGTCATAAGCCCACCCTGCAAAACTGGGAACAGGTAAGGCCCATCTCCAGACTGGGCAGACCAGGTCTCTAGCCCCTAGGCCACAGGGGCACATCCTGTGGCCCTTCCCAAAGCCATTGGAGCCCCAGGGACTGAACAGCAGCCTCCTCTCCACCAAGAAAGCCATCACCTGTGACACCAGCAACCACCGGAGTCATAAGCCCACCCTGCACCAATTGGGAATAGCTGATCCCTGAGACAGAGCCCACTAGTGACCATTGCACTAAGAGCTGCTCCCTGAGACACAAAATCCTTCAGCACCAATTGGACCAAGCGCTCAGAATAGACAAAGAGCTCCCATTAGACCAAGAGTATCAACCGGACAAGAGAGGCTGCCTCAGACACTTGCATGGAATGGAGGTAGAGATGGGTAGTCGCCAGTGCAAAAATACAGTCAACAACATAAAGACCTATATGGCACCATCAGAATCTGGTGGTTCTACATCAGCAAGACCTGAACATTACAATGCAGAAGAAGCAGAAGAAATCAACCTTAAAAAATGACTTTAAGAAGATAATAGCAGGGTGGTGGTGACACATGCCTTTAATCCCAGCACTCGGGAGTCAGAGTCAGGCTGATGTCTGTGAGTTTGAGGACAGCCTGGGCTACAGAGTGAGTTCCAGGAAAAGGCACAAAGCTACACAGAGAAACCCTGTCTCAAAAAACAAAAACAAAAACAAAAAAAATGATAGAGGCCTTTAAAGAGGAAGTGAAAAATTCACTTAAAAAATTGGATAAAAAGACAAACAAAAAATAGGAAGAAATCAATAAATCCCTTAAAAGAAAGCAAAAAAAAAAAAAAAAAAAAAGAGCAATTAAACAGGGGAAGGAAACAATCCAAGATTTGAAAACTGAAATAGAGGCAATAAAGAAGACATAAACTGAGGAAATGCTGGAAATGGAAAATCTGAGGAACTACAGATGCAAGTATAACCAACAGAATGCAAGAGATGGAAGAGCAAATCTCTAGTATTGAAAATACGATAGAGGAAATAGATTTGTCAGTCAAAGAAAACACTAAAGCCAAAAAAGTCCTAACAGAAAACATCTAGGAAATTTGGGACACCATGAAAAGACCAAACCTAAGAATAATAGGGATAGAAGAAGGAGAAGAATACCAACTCAAAGGCACAGAAAATATATTGTTAAATATACAAAATCATAGAAGAAAACTTTCCCAACCTAAAGAAGCAAATGCCTATGAAGCTTACAGAACACCAAATAGACTGAATTTAAAAAAAAAAAACCAACTCCCTTTGTCATGTCAAATAATAATCAAACCACTAAACATACAGAATAAAGAAAAAATATTAAGAGCTGCAAAGGAAAAAGGCCAAGTAACACATAAAGGCAGACCCATAAGAATAACACCTGACTTCTCAATGGAGACTCTAAAAGCCAGAAGGTCCTAGACAGACATTATACAGACACTAAGAGACCATGGATACCAACCCAGACTATTATATCCAGCAAAACTCTCAACTGCCATAGACAAAGTAAACAAAATATTCCATTATAAAACCAGATTTAAACAATACCTATCCACAAATCCAGCCCTACAGAAAGCACTAGAAGGGAAAATCCAACCTAAGGAAGTTAGATACACCCATGAAAACACAGGTAATAGATAATCCCACACCAACAAATACCAAAGAAGAGAAACACACAAAACTACCACCAAAAAAATAACAGGAATTAACAATCACTGGTCATCAATATCCATCAATATCAATGGTCTCAATTTGCCTATAAAAAGACACAGGCTAACAGAATGGATACGAAAACAGGATCCATCCATCTGCTGCATACAAGAAACACACCTCAACTTCGAAAACAGACACTACCTCAGAGTAAAAGGCTGGGAAAAGGCTTTCCAATCAAATGGACTTACAAAGTAAGCTATCCTAATATCTAATAATATAGACTTCAAACTAAAATCAACTGAAAGAGACCAGGAAGGACATTACATATTCATCACAGGGAAAATCACCAAGATGAAGTCTTAATTCTGAACATTTATGCCCCAAATACAAGGGCACCCACATTTGTAAAAGAAATATTACTAAATCTTAAATTGCACATTAAACCCCATACACTAGTAGTGGGAGATTTCAACACCTCACTCTCACCACTGGATAGATCTGTCAGACTGAAACTTAACAGAGAAATAAGGGACCTAACAGAAGTTATAACTCAAATGGATTTAATAGATATCTGTAGAACATTCTGCCTTAACACAAAAGAATATACCTTCTTCTCAGCACCCCATGGAACCTTCTCTAAAACTGACCACATGCTCGGTCACAAAGCAAATCTCAATTGATACAAAAAAATTGAAATAACCTCCTGTATTTTATCCTACCACCATACCTTAAAGTTAGATTTCAACAACAACAAAAATTACAGAAAGCCTACAACCTCATGGAAACTGAATAATGCCCAAATGAATCACAAATGGGTCAAGGAAGAAATAAAGAAAGAAATTAAAGATTTCCTAGAATTCAATGAAAATGAAAGTACAACACACAGAAACTTATGGGACACTAAGAAAGCAGTGCTAAGAAGAAAATTCATAGCACTAAATGCCCACATAAAGAAGTTGAAGAAATCTCACACTAGTGACTTAACAGCATACCTGAAAGCTCTAGAACAAAAAGAAGCAAACTCACCGAGGAGAAACAGATGCCAGGAAATAATCAAATTGAGGGCTGAAATCAATGAAATAGAAACAAAGAGAACAACACAAAGAATCAATAAAAGAGTTGGTTCTTTGAGAAAATCAACAAGATAGACAAGCTCTTATACAAATTAACCAATAGGCAGAGAGAATACATCCAAATGAACAAAATCAGAAATGAAAAGGGAGACATAACAACAGACAATGAGGAAATCCGGAGAATCATCAGGTCATACTTCAAAAACCTGTACTCCACAAAATTGGAAATCTGAAAGAAATGGACGATTTTCAGGATAGGTACCACATACCAAAATTAAATCAAGTCCAGATAAACTATTTAAATAGACCAATAATCCCTAAGGAAACAGTCATTAAAAATTTCCCAACCAAAAAAGCCCAGGACCAGATGGTTTCAGTGCAGAATTCTACCAGATTTTCAAAGAAGAGCTAATTCCAATACTCTGCAAATTGTTCCACACAATAGAACAGAAGGAACATTACCAAACTCTTTTTATGAAGCTACAGTTACCCTGACACCCAAACCACACAAAGATACAACAAAGAAAGAGAATTACAGACCAATTTCCCTCATGAATATTGATGCAAAAATACTCAATAAAATACTGGCAGACTCCAAGAACACATTAAAAAAATTATCCACCATGACCAAGTAGGCTTCATCCCAGGGATGCAAGGGTGGTTCAACATAAAAAACCTGTCAATGTAATACATCATATAAACAAACTGAAAGAAAAAAAAACATATGAACATCTCATTAGATGTTAACAAAGCCTTTGACAAAATCCAACACCTCTTCATGATAAAGGCTTCTAGAGAGATCAAGAATACAAGCAACATACCTAAACATAATTAAGGCAATTTACAGCAAGCTAATAACCAACTTCAAATTAAATGTTTGAGCAAAACTCAAACTAATTCCACTAAAATCAGGAACAAGATAAGGCTGTCCACTCTCCCCATATTTATTCAATATAGTACGTCAAGTTCTAGCTAGAGCAATAAGACAACAAAAGGAGATCAAAGGGATACAAATTGGAAAGGAAGAAGTCAAACTTTCCCTATTTGCAGATGATATAATAGTGTACATAAGTGACCCCAAAAATTCTACCAGGGACCTCCTACAGCTGATAAACTCCTTCAGTAATGTGGCAGAATATAAGATTAACTAAAAAAAAAAAAAATCAGTAGCCCTCCTATATACAAATGCTGAAAGGGCTGAGAAAGAAATCAGAGAAACATCACCCTTTATAATAGCCACAAATAATATAAAATACCTTGGGGTAACTCTAACTAAGCAAGTAAAAGACCTGTATGATAAGAACTTTAAGTCTCTGAAGAAAGAAATTGAAGAAGATATCAGAAAATGGAAAGATCTCCCATGCTCATGGATAGGTAGAATTAACATAGTAAAAATGGCAATCTTACCAAAAGCAATCTACAGATTCATTGCAATATCAATCAAAATCCCAACACAATTCTTCACAGACTTGGAAAGAACAATAGTTAACTTTATATGGAAAAACAAAAAACCCAGGATAGCTAAAAGAATCCTGTATAATAAAGCAACTTCTGGAGGCATCACCATCCCTGACCTCAAGCTCTACTATAGAGCTATAATAATAAAAAAAAAAACAGCTTGGTACTGGCCTAAAAACTGACATGTGGAGCAATGGAATCAAATTGAAGATCTTGACATTAATCAGCACATGTATGGACACCTGATTTTTGACAAAGAAGCCAAAACTGTACCATGGAAAAAGAAAGCATCTTCAACCAATGGTGCTGGCATAACTGGATGTCAACATGTAGAAGATTACAAATAGATTCATATCTATTGCCATGCACAAAACTCAAGTCCAAGTGGATCAAAGACCTCAATATAAAACCAGTTACACTGAACCTGATAGAAGAGAAAGTAGGAAGCAGTCTTGAATGCATTGGCACAGGAGATCACTTCCTAAATATAATACCAGTAGCACAGACACTGAGAACAACAATTAATAAATGGGACCTCTTAAAACTGAGAAGCTTTTGTAGGGCAAAGGACATGGTCAATAAGACAAAACCACAGCCTACAAAGTGGGAAAATGTTGCTAGAGTTTTCCTGCCTTGCCCACAGTCAGGACAAATCTTTGTCACCCGCCAGTCCCACAGCCGCTCAGACCCAACCAAGTAAACACAGAGACTTATATCGCATACAAACTGTATGGCTGTGGCAGGCTTCTTGCTAACTGTTCTTATAGCTTAAATTAATCCATTTCCATAAATCTATACCTTGCCACGTGGCTGGTGGCTTACCGGCGTCTTCACATGCTGCTGGTCATGGCGGCAGCTGGCAGTGTCTCTCTGCCTCAGCCTTCCGCTTCCCAGAATTCTCCTCTCTCCTTGTCCCACCTACTTCCTGCCTGGCCACTGGCCAAACAGTGTTTTATTTATTGGCCAATCAGAGCAATTTGACATACAGACCATCCCACAGCAGGAAAAGATCTTCTCCAACCCCACATCTGACAGAGGGCTGATCTCCAAAATATGTAAAGAACTCAAGAAACTAGACATTGCTGGGCAGTGGTGGCGCACGCCTTTAATCCCAGCACCGGGAGGCAGAGGCAGGCGGATCTCTGTGAGTTCGAGGCCAGCCTGGTCTACAAAGTGAGTTCCAGGAAAGGCACAAAGCTACAGAGCCTCTGCTGCTGGGGAGGCTTGACACTGGATTTTTTCGTCACCATTGATTCTTCAGGTTTTGATCCAGGCTCTTTCCCTCTGTACATCCAGGGCAGCTCAACCCTGGCAACACGGTTTTACCTGTTTCTTTGGTGTTTTGTTGTTTTTCTAACATGGCATGCATTTCCTTCCCACAATACCTTCTCAAGCACTGCGTTCAGTCTGTAGTGTGACAATGTTGACTGTTTTAGCAAATGGCCTGTCCCAGTAGCTGAAATTTTGTGTACTTACCAATGTCCACAAAACAGATTTCTAGAAGCACATTTCTGGAGCAAGCCTGCATTTTTACCTCAGTTCATCTGTATGCGGATGTCTATCCTTTTGATAGCAGACATATCACAATCCCTGGAACATCACAGAGCAAATTGTATCTTAAACTCCTGTCCCAATGTCTGGCTAGATCTGTGTGTTCTTATAGAGCATTCAAGGCAACCCACTGACGTTCCCTCCCAGTCTTCACTGGCTGATGAAAACTTAATTCGGTGATTCTTTAGGATATTGTCATAACTATGATGCTGCACAGACCATACCTGAACCTTAACCTCTGTGTTTGGATTGTACACTGTGAAGCAGTACTTAGGTGTGTCACTGTGCATGGAACACTACCATCCCTGGGAAAGTGCTACTAATAAACAAACTGACCCAATTTACAAGAATGAAAAGAAAAAATCCGTTTTACATCCAACCAAGAAATATATTGGTAGGTAACATCAGTTCACTTTTGTAATTGTTGATTTTTTACTCTTTGGGGGCCATCACCCAGCTCCCAAATAAATACAGAGTCATATTCTTATTCTTACTTATGAATGCCTGGCCTTAGCTTGACTTGTTCCTAGCCAGATTTTCTTAAATTGTCCCATCTACCTTTTGCCTCTGGGCTTTTATCTTTTATCTACATACATTTCTTTACTTCTTATTCTGTGGCTGGCTCTGTGGCTGAGTGGCTGTGTGGCTGACCTGACCCCTGACATCCTCCCCTCCTTCTCCTCCTATTTATTCACTTTGCCTGGCAGCCCCACTTATTTCTCTCTCCTGCCTGGCCATTGACTGTTTAGTTCTTTATTAGACCATCAGGTGTTTTAGACAGGCAAAGTAACACAGCTTCACAGAGTTAAACAAATGCAGTGTAAAAGAATGCAACACAACTTTGCATCATTAAACAAATGTTCCATAGCATAAATGAATGTAACACATCTTAAAATAATATTCCACAACACACCTTGAATGTGAATTAGCTCTACTTCACAACCAAATTGTTAATAAAAGCTTACCTAAACAGCTACAATTCTTTCCTAAATCAAATATGCTTGGAAGAACAGATAAAAGAAAAAAAATCATGCTTTCTAAACTGCTGTATATGAAAAGGTAACTTGACTTTTTAAGAAAACATTTCTCTAAATACTTAAGAGTAAGTTGCATTATGATTAACTAAAGAGTCTGAATTGATTGCACTAAAGTTAAGCAATTATATTTTTGCTCTCAGGTATATTTTAGTTTGCTCAAGAAAATACACATTTGTAGCCAGAATTGTTTCTCCAGTCCCACCAGGCCCCCACAGTCCCATGGCCCGGTTATAAAATAATCACTCAGAAGCTTATATTAATTATAACTGCTTGGACATTAGCTCAGGCTTATTACTGACTAGCTCTTACACTTAAATTAACCCATAATTCTTGTCTATGTTTAGCCATGTGACTTGTACCTTTTCTCAGCTCGGCCTTGACATCTTGCTTCCTCTGCGTCTGGCTGGTGACTCCTGACTCTGCCCTTCCTCTTCCCAGAATTCTCCTCCTCCGCTTGCCCCACCTATACTTCCTGCCTGGCTACTGGCCAATCAGCGTTTTGTTTATCAACAAATCAGAGCAACACATATTCACAGCATACAGAACAACACCCCACAGCACTTCCCCTTTTCTGTTTAATCAAAAAGGAAGGTTTTAACTTTAACATAATAAAATTATATATAACAAGGCCGGGCAGTGGTGGCGCACGCCTTTAATCCCAGCACTCGGGAGGCAGAGGCAGGCGGATCTCTGTGAGTTCGAGGCCAGCCTGGGCTGCCAAGTGAGTCCCAGGAAAGGCGCAAAGCTACACAGAGAAACCCTGTCTCAAAAAACCAAAAAAAAATTACATATAACAAAACAGTTATCAAGCAAGAATTACAGTTACAATATCTAGTCTATTTGTATTTGGCAAAATTAAAGAAAACATCCTATCATCTATCCTATATTTGTAAGTCTAAAGTTTCATATCTAATTTATCTTTTATCATAACCAAGGAAAATTATAACTACTTTATATCATCATAATATTCTGAATCTCAACATACTAATTTAAAAATTACATGAAATCTCATAAGAAAATTATTGCTTACATTAGAAAAAAACTTACTACTTTATATCCTCTCTCTAAACAGATTTATTTTATGTAAATAAAAGCAATGATTCTAAATTGGTATTCTAGCACTTAGCTGTTTTAAGAGGTAAGAAGAAAAAATCAGTTCTGCTTGTCCCCAGAACGAGTGTAATCCAGATTCTGGTGGGAGGACAGCGCACAGACTCAGGACACAGGCTCGTGGAGATGCGTTGGCCAGATCTGTCACAAACAGAGCTGTAGCTATCACTGTGTCCAGAGCTGCCAACACGGGCATCCAGGGCCAGAGTTTCCGTGTGGAAAGAAACCAAGAGCCAATAGCACCTCTCCCCTCTCTCTTTCCATACCTGTTTAACCCCTTGGTGAACTGAGTCCCTTGTACATAAAAGAGCATCGGAAAACTCTTCTCTTTGCATTTAATGTTAAGTGTAGAAAGAAAGGAAATCCAAAGAGAACCACACTAGCAAGCCCCTTACGTGAAAGCAGCTTGAGGTTGTCTTTACACTGTTTGAGATCATCTGTGATTGATTGCTTTTCCTACTCAGTCCTTTCATGCTTCAACTTCAGTTCTGAGACTATAGTCTTGTCTTTCTGTACTAAAAGTAAAGAAAAAAAGGAGTGACCATATACCCAAGGAGTCTGGGGTGATTAGGTGGAAGCCACACCTCTCTTTCTCCCTAGGCTCCGCCCCCTAAGAAAGCCCGCCAAAGTCAGTCCTCCCTGGCGCTTCTCAAGATCACACCTATAGGCTACTTAAGACCTGGTTGCCATGTGTGTTAATATCCTGACGACCCATCCCTTGGTGCCACCCTGCATCCTGATGTAAAAGCCTCATTTTTAGGAAATCCCTCCTTCCTCTCTTCTTCTTCTGCCTCTTCTCCCATGAGGTGTGAACCCTTGACCGCCCCTCCTTCTTTCCCTCTTTGTTATCTTTCTCTTCCTCTCTATTATAAAAAACCTTTTCCACGTGGATGCAGCATCTGGGTCATGAATGACTGTCTGCCGCCACCCTGACACTATGGTGTGGGTCACCCGCCAACCCGACATTGCATCTGCCCAGCATGCCAACATGGTTCCCTGCACACGTGGGATACCCTGGCGTGGCCATCTGGGGATCCCACGCATGCAAATTCATAACAATGTGCTCTTGTGCTCCATCCCCTGCCTTCCTGAGAGGCACCAGGAGGACTTTGCTCTGCTCACATCAAGCCTAGATTTATTAATTTGGCTTGATTGGCTTATTGCATTGGTGGCATTACTCACTATGGAGATTTAAACTTTTCAGTAGGCTTGGCTTAAAATGGGTTTGAAGTTCCAGTTCTAGTCAGGTAGTCTCTGGCACTTAACAATAACAATCTTTTTGTTTGTTTGTTTATTTGTTTTTTTTTTGAGAAAACAAAACCAGGTAGAAACAAATCCTATAACCTAATTAAGTGGCAGTGTTCGGTCTAAGTACATCTCCTGGAAATTACAAGGATGTTATGTTAGCCGAGTGGCGTGGACCACATGGTGACTTCTGCTGCCTGACAAGTTCCAGCATCTCAACATCGCAGACCACACTTCTCCAGCACCTTTTTACTTTCATTTTTAATGATTCTCGATATTAATGCCTTTGCCTTTGGAAATTTGGTGTGGGCTTTGGTAAAGGATACAAATGTGTACAATAGTAGCCTCTCTAAACAAAAATAAGTCTTTGGAAAAAAATCCCCACCACCTCAGAACCAGGAATTCCAATGTACCCTCCTAATTACATCAAAAGGAAAGTTAGAGATTTCCTAGACACACCTGATCCCAAGGATGAAATGCCTACAATTCAGATCTAAAGCCTGAGGCCATTAAGGGCAAGAGTTTAGTTAATAAACACAGAGAAATTAGAATGGTACAGTCTAATGGGAAAAGTATAAGACATCCAGACCTTCCCTTTTGGGAGTGTTATGAGGAAAACAGGTCCATATAGTAAGGTTAAGAAATTGTATAGAGTCTCCTCCCCAGAAGAAGTCCTTTTCCCAAAGTCAGGCATTTGGATGAGGGTCTCCATTCCCTTGGGGGCTTGAGGAAACTTCTTGCTTGATAGTATTGAGTATTGAAAATTGTTTCTTGGGCTGGAGAGATAGCTCAGAGGGTAAAGAGCATTGGCTATTCTTCCAAAGGTCCTGCATTCAATTCCCAGCAACCACATGATGGCTTATAACCATCTGTAATGTAATCTGGTGCCCTCTTCTGGCCTGCAGGGATGCAGGCAGAACACTGTATGCATAATAAATAAATAAATATTTGCTGGGCGGTGGTGGCTCATGCCTTAAAAAAAAAAAAAGAAAATTATTTCTCATTCTTTTTCTTTGGAGTTATTCATATAAAAATTACCATAGATAAAGCTTTAACCAGAAGAACAAAGGTCACCTTCTGCGGCCTTAGCTTTACACCTTGCTTGGATATCACTTCTGTTCCCTCTTGCATTTAATTTTAAAGTAACAAGTTAGCTTGGTGTTAGGAGGGAAACATCACAAACTATTACTAACAGCTATGGCTCTTCATAGAACTAATTCTATCTGGGTTTGATCAGCTTGCATCAGTTTAACTTGCTAAAGTCCTAAGGACACACAATCAGAATTTTGAGTACATTAAGCATGACTTCATGAGAGAAAGGAGAGCAAAGGGAAATGTTGAAGAAAGTACATATGAATTATTAAAAAGTAATCATGTATTTGCATTGGATTACACAGAGATAAAAACCTTATTAAGACTGTTTTACTTAAAGACCACTGTCAGATGCATTGACAGACGGACAAACGGAACAATTCGCCTCACCGAGGCACGTTTTGTCACAATGAAAAAACGATGAAGAAGAAAATAGGAAAGAAACATATCGACAAGCTGGGGCTTCTTTGTTAAATTTGATGCATTTAATGCATTTCAAAGACTAGCAACAGCTTAGATGCTGTGACAGCCACTGCTGAAAGGCTGAGAAACGCGCTGGTGGCAGCGCTGGTTAGTGGCGGAAAAGTCACCAGCCGTGGCCGTGGCTGCCTAGTTACGGAGAGCTTTATTGGGGGAAGAGGAGACCAGGCCTGGGAGAAGGATGGTGGGGGAGGGGGAGGGGGAGAGCAGAGCGAGTGTGGGGTCTGCATCTGGCTTTTAAGGCACAGACTGTGTGACCATGTGCGCTGGCCGGGCACATAGTCATCAGCGCCCCCTGAGGATGCAAGACCCGGAGCTGTGCATGTGCGGAGCTGTGCATGTGCGGGGTGAGGGCAGGATCCTAACAACTGCCATTGTGGAAACAGTGAACACATTTGACACTGATTATTCAGTGACAGAAAGCAAGCAAAAAATAATGCGACAAAATGGGAAATGTATTCATAATAACATACAAGTCAATCATCTTCCAACCATAGATTCCCTCCAAATATTGAAAGAATTATGGCATGTCAACTGGAAGGGCTCAGAGTGCTTGCAGTATTAAATATTAGAATACTTTGGTACATAATTTGTGTTTCAACCAAATGCAGATTTTCTTAAAATATGCAGTCTTAACCAAATAAAGCAGGACATTGCTGTGCTCCTCAGCCCCACTGAGGAGCAGACACAGATGGACCAGGGAGTGGACTGCAAAGGATGCCTTTCTTAGTGACTGTTCTACTGATACGAAGGGACACCTGTGTGTGTGTGGGCGGGGGGGCGGGGGGGGACTCAAAACAGCTTGACCACGCAGCTGCCATGACAGGCTTACTGGCAGGCAACATCCAGATCCAGGAAAAGCCATAAACTGACAGCACCCTGGCACCATCCAGGAATGGTCCAGCATCTAAGGGGAAGTACCTGACATTCCAAACATTCCAACTGTTAGGTAAGATTCGATAAGACCACCAGATGTCCCTGAGCCTAGCACACACCTATTTATCTTTTATCAAGATACCCCTAGACAAATGTCAGCTATTCAGAGTCCTGAACCCTGAAAATCCCCTCACCCCAACCTCTACTATGATTAAAAAAACAAAACAAAACAAAAACCCTACCCTGCCTGGGCTCGGGGCTCTCTGCTCTCACCATTGCATTCAACAGCTTGGAATAAAGGTTCTTTGCTTTTGCATATCGATTCAGTGTCTCTGTGGTGGTCTTGATGGGTCCCTGAGACCTGGGCATGACAACACCATGATGAAAGTGTTTAAATGGGAACTCCCTTACTGTTTTACACACCCCTGTGTGTTGGTTTTAATAAGTGTCGCTGTTACCATTCGAGAAAGGTCACGAGGCACAACAAAATCCAGTATCAGAGCTGTATTAGGAGGAAGGCGGGGGACAGAAGAGAGCATGGCCAGGCCTGTTGGAAAAACACATGAGGAGAAGGGAGAGGGGGTGAGGAGGAGAGAGCAGGAGAGAGGGGAGGAGTCTGTGACCGGCTTTTTAAGGATTCCCCTGCACATGCGCATGTGGCTTAAGGAGCTATGCCACACATGGGCAGATTGCGTGATTGTAATTCGCAATCACGCAGCGCACGGATTATGTAGGACGTAAGGCCACTTGCTTGGCTACTGAACTGCACATGTGCGGTCATGTAGCTGGAGGAGTGGCCAGAATTCTAACACCATGACCATCGTGATAGGGAGACCCAGGGCAGACATGGTGCTGGAGAAATAGTTGAGAGCTACATCCTGATCCCTAGGCTGAGAGAGAACTGTTCCAGGCGGGGACATTTGAAACTAGAACGCCCACAACCAGTGACACAGTTCCTCCGACGATGCCATACCATCTAATCCACCTGCAACGGTGCCGTGTGCCTCCCGGACCCCCACCTACCTGTCCATACAACCTCTGTCTTTGGTTCAGTAATTCAGTCCAACTGATACAGCACATACAGCTAGAAGGACAAGAGCCAAGTGCAGGGCTGAACAGGAGTCTCATAGGATAAGAGCATTTGTTGTTCCCTCCGAGTACCCACACGGCACCTAACAACCATCTATAACCCTAGTTACAGACAATCTGGTGCCCTCTTCTGGCCTCCGTGGAAACTGCGTGCATGTGTGACCTACAACAGGCAAAACACCCATACAACTAAAATAAAGATAAATACATCTAAAAACCCCACCAAATGCATGGTCGAGGCCAACAGTGTAAAAAAAGCTATTTCCCAACATGTTTGGAAGGTCATTATCTCTGTTGTGAGGTTATCCCTGAAACTGTACTCAGCACCAACAGAGGAAGACTGCTCTGAGTTTCTGGGATTTTTATGCACTTTAATGAATGCTTTTATTTCCCAGGAGTCTAAAGAGTAACACAGGTGTGTTTCTCCTGTGGGGGCCCCCATAAAAACTTGACCACACAGCTGCCATGACAGGTTTAGAGGCCCAGACACAGCTTCTGGCAGGCAACACCTGGACCCAGGAGAAGCCATGAGCTGACTCCACCCAGTGGGGCCTGCATCTAAGAGGAAACACCTGACATTCCAAACATCCTCTATACCCCAAGACAAATGTCAGCCAACCAGGGTCCTGAACCCTGGAACACCCCCCCCCCATCCCAACCTCTGCTATGATAAAAACTCCACCCTGCCTGGACTCTGGGCTGATCGCTGCTCTCACTGATGACAGGCAGAGAAACCAAGCCTTGGAGCTTGAAAATAAAGGCTCTTTGCTTTTACGTATGGAATTCGGTCTCTGTTGTTGTCTATTGGGGGTCCTCATGATCTGGGCATAACATTTGGGAGCTCATCTAGGATCCCCCAAGCCCACCAGGACCACTGCCCATAGAGCCTGAAGCTGGCCAGTAAGTGTCTGTCTGTCCTGTTTGTCTGTGTTCAGTTTCGTTTTTGTGGCATGCCTAAGTTGGTCAGGAATGGTCCTAGTGGATACAACCCAGGACTGAGATCACAAGGGACTGAAAGAAATTTTAGACTCCGTTAGTGAGGGCAGAGAACACCATGTCTGTAGTGGACCCCACATCTGTTTGTCTGTCCTGGGGCAGAGACCCACCCAAATCTGTTTGACTGAGGATTTGTAGTGGGGTGGGGAACCCCACATCTGTGTGTGGTCAGCTGACACTGTTTCCCCAGGAAAATTGTTTGTCCTTTAGTTGGAATGTCCTGCCTATGTGAATGTGTGAGAAGTGTGGCCACAGTGTGCGTGTTTTATGCCTGGGTTTATGTGTGCCTTGTGACTCCTGGGACAGATGGCCAGTGGAAGGGAGGGGGTCCCTTTGGTTGAACTGGGGCAGACTAACAGTACTCCCTCCCCATTGCTTCCTTGCTGTCTGACTAGAGTGTGGACAGCCAGCAGGGGAATGCACTGCAAGGAGTCTGGAGGGCCCTAGTGGCCCAGCGGCTACTGCAAGGACCACTGTGGGGACCCAAGGCACCTCTGAGCGGCTGGGCACTAGGTGAGCTGTGAGCACCATGGGGCCCGGCCCGTAGCAGGTTCAGGGCCAGGTTTCACTTGCTCAGGGAACCATGGAGTGGAGACTTTGTATCATGACATGAGTGGTGGCCCGGGGTGGGGGTGGGAGGGTGTCCAGAGACTGCCATGGGGACTAGGCATGGCTGAGCACCAGGGCAAGCCATGGCACCTCAGCCCGAGGCAGGTTTGGGGCCAGGCCCCCAAGCACAGGGAGCCTCGGGGTGGAGCAGCACAGAGCAGCTTGGTGCCTGACACTGCCCCTCTAGGGTCACAGCCTGGCAAGGGTCCAGCCATGACGTGGAGCCCCTTCCATGGCCTCTCTTGTGCACCTGAGGATCTGGGGTTGGCAGACATCTTCTGTCCCCATGGTGCACTTAGGCTCCCATGATGATGGGTGGGGCACCCAAGACCTTCCCTGGGACTAAACCTGACCGAGGTTTAGCTCCAAGAATGGAATGGAATGTCACTGCCTATGACTGATAAACTATGGAGGCTATGATATAATGCTATAGACAGAGCTGCCTTGATCACTCCAATACAACAGTTTCTTGTCTGTGGTACAGTGCTCATGCAAATTTAGAGTTATTCTTGTTATGGTATATGCATGTATTTCTGTTCTTATTTAAAATATTGTAGCTTTACAATATACTCTAGACTACTGAGGGAAATCACAAGAAAGACTTCGGTAAGAGTTTCTGTGTTTAAAAAAATGAGAGACTAAGTGGGAGACTGTTGATATAACCAACCGTCGTATTAAATAAGAAACACAGAAACAATGTAAAAGGAAAGCTGAGAGGTCAGAGCTCAGAGCTAAAATCTCACCCTTCCGCCTGCGGTGTCCCAGCTTCCCGAAAGAGAGCTACTTCCTGTCTGTTCGTTTTTTTTATAGTATGTTGTTCTGCCTTCTCATTGGTTGTAAACCCAAACACATGACTGCCTCGTCACTGTCTGAATGTACAGCCCCCTAGGTCTTAAAGGTGTATGTCTCCAATGCTGCCTGTATCCCTGAACACACAGAGATCTATGGGATTAAAGGC